CGTCTCAAGTCACTGCACTTTTTAAACAAAGATAACGTCGGTTACTCCAATCTCATCAGGAGTCATTATTCTGAGACATAAAAGTTTGCCAAATAATAGCTATGTACTCATTTCTTAGTTTTAAAATACTCAATGTACGCAATAAATAAGTAAAATAAACATCATTTAACCAGTTTTATACCAAAATGTGAAGTGTTTTAACCTTCAAACATTATATTATAGAAAAAAACAGCAATGATTAAAACTCGAATATGTTATAATGTATGCTAACCCATAGATAAACATAGTAAATTAAAAATAAACCACTTAATTTGTCTAGATGCTCAGATTCATGTTTTTCTGTTGATTGAATAAATGACTTTGGAGATATTTCCCCATCTGACCTATTTAAATCCTTTTAACATTCCCCTTAAAAATGTATTTATACTCACATCCACTTGAACTTGAATGGACCAGTCACCAAGTATTGGATGGGAAGATAATTGAAAAGTTTTGGAAACAACTCCCAGATCACTTCGTTCTGACAACCATTGCTGGATCAGATTTGACTTGGGGTCCTGCAATGAAACCACACACATTAACTCTGCAAAGACCGCCCACGTGCACGTGTGTCCTATCTGTTATGAGTGACGCCCCGCAGCATTCCCAGGCACATCCAGAACATGGCACAGAGACAGTGTTTGGAAAATGTCAGCTCTAGACTACTAAAGAAGACAAATATAAATTTCTTCTTTTCTCAGCTTCTCCTGAGAATATCTTTATTCTGTTCCACCTTTTAATTTTTGGTACCATATTTCCTTCTACATGGAAAACACTACAACATGTACATCACCAAACCTGTGTTGTTATTGTTAAAAGAAAATTGCACTGTAGAGATAACAGGCCCCATTATTATTAAAGTGTTAAAGGCCCACTAGTGTCAGGCACTCTGCCTTATCATTACAACTCATACATCATTCAGTCATTACAACTCTCCTTCAGGGGAGGATTTCCTCACGTTACAGTTGAGAAAACTGATGCTGAGAGAAGTTAGGTAAGCACTCAACTGTAAGTAACTGGCATGGTCAATGTTACAGCACCAATACATGATGGAATCCAGGGTTCAAACCCATGTGTCTTTTAATTCAACAAAAGTGTATCGGGGGGCCAGCCCCATGGCCTAGTGGTTAAGTTTGGCATGCTCTGCTTCGGCGGCTTGGGTTCAGATCTCAGGCACAGACCTACACCACTCATCAGTGGCCATGCTGTGGCAGCATCCCACATACAAAATGGAGGAAGATGGGCACAGATGTTAGCTCAGGACGAATCTTCCTCAGCAAAAAAAAAGTGTATTACAGAGAACAGATTGGTGATTACCAGAGGGGAAGGGGGTGGGGAAGGGCAAAAAAGGTAAAGGGGAACACGTGTACCATGACAGATGAAACTAGACTTTTGGTGGTGAAACTCATGTAGTCTATACAGAAGTCGAAATATAATGATGTACACTTGAAATTTATATAATGTTATAAACCAGTATAACCTCAATTAAAAAAGGAAAAAAAGTGAATCATAGAGATGTTAAAGCAAGGCAACAAAAAACACTTCAGTCTTCCTGTACTCTCCCAGACAACGATCCCTTCACGAAACGTTCATCCAAGCCAACCCAGCAGTCACCCCAGGTTCCTCTCACGTTGTCAGCTCTGTCAATTCTGTCTCTTTAGTATGTCTTTAATTGGCCTCCTTCTTTCCATCCTCACATCCTGTTTTCTCACGTCCACACAATGTCCTATTTTCTAACTATTGCAACTCCTCTCCATCCTCTGGTCTTGCCCCTCCAGTACATCTTCCCCACTGCCAACAGTGTTATCCATCTGGGACTGAGGCCAAGTGGCTGAAATGCTTGGCACAGTCCCTGGCATAGAATATGCAGTGAATAAACACTGGCTATGATCATTATCCTAGACCACTAGGTAACGATCACTTTTGTTTGCCTGCAGAATGAGGTCTACACTCCTTTGCCTACACTCCTCTTGCCTGCTTAGTAATCTGACTCCATCCACATTTCTAAGTTCACCTTCCTCCAACAGATTTATTTGCAATTCACCCCAAAAGCCATCTAGCCTCTGGAATTGCTGCACAGAATGCCCTCCCTTCTTGGTCCAACAGGGAAGATAAGCTCCCACTTCTGGCATTCCAAATATGCCTCCAGCAGGCAGAAGTGACCCCTTCCTGGAGAGGCCCTAACACACCTCAGTTCACCACTCCTGAAGACATGTTACTGTTTAAGACACTCATGAGTTATATGGGGGGTTTTGTTCCCAACTAGATTGTGAACTCCTGAGAGTGGGGATCAAATATTTCCCTTAGTCTTGTTCTTTATCCTTTTACTAGAGGTAGTGGGTTAGCCCAGTTATTAGAAATGAGAAGAAACCTCTCTTACCAAGTGGGAGAGAATGAGTCAAAGGTAAGTACAACGCTGAGAACTGAGTAGTGGGTAGTCTAGTAAGCCAGAAACTAACTGTTCATACCAAAGACCAAAAGCAAGTCAAAACCAAGCAGGTCGCTGTCCTTGGCAAACCCCTGGGACAGGGGCTGTAACCAGCAGTGGGCTCCACTGCGCCTGCCACAGCAGGATGCGTGGGAGGGCTACAGAGGTTAAAGAATCAAAACAAAGGAAGAAGTACAAACACCTAATAAATATATGCTATCTAATAATTAAAGGAATGCAAAGGAAAACAATGAAATACCATTTTTCTTCTGTCATATTGAGAAAAATAAAAAATAATAACAATAATTCCCAGTGTTATTTAAAATGTAGGGAAAGGAATGCTCATACTCTGCTGGTGTGTGGTTCTGATGAGGATGCACATTTCTCCCAGGTGCTGCCATGGCCCTGCACACAAAGGAAGTCCGAACCGAAGGCTTTGATGACTTTGCAGCTGGAAGATCGGGAAGGCTGGGAATGAACAAGATGACTTCCTCTGGTTTCCCAAGCCTGTCTTGGCCCTAGGCCTTTCACCAACAAGGAAGACACAGAGAATGCAGAAACACTAGAAGGTTTCACAGAGCACATCAGGATTTGAATGGGCCATGCATGGGGGCATCACAGCAGAGCCCCACATGTGCACATGGTCATCTGCCAGTGGGACGCATACAGGACAGCCACATACAATGCAAACAAGTGCCCTTGTCGTAGCCAGAAGAGCCACGTGCCAGAGACGCTGGACATGTGGGCCCTTGTGCCCTCCAGGTCACCTCCAGATGGCTCTGGAGTGCACCAGGTGCCTCAGCACAGACTGCCCCAGCTGGAGAACTTGTCTGCAAGGAGTGTTTCTGCCACCCCTGGAGTCCTGAACTACGCAGAAGGTATCTGTCCAGCATGGAAAATCAGAGGAGTCAGATCACTTACAGAAGGTGGCCCTCTCACCTGGCCAGGGCTGAGGTTCTGGGTTTGTCACCATGGCCCCAGGCCAAAGTGTCAAGGGCACAATCACAGGATATATGCCCAAGCCAACAATACTTGTTCCCACACAAGGTCATTCACCTGTACCAAGAAGAAAAGTCAGGGTAGCGGCTGCCATGCTAGCTGCCAGCACTTATTTCCTCCAGACAGGCTGGAGGAGGCCAGAATTAGAGCAGAGGTAGGGCATGTTTTTGAGGCAGGCAAAAGGAATACTACCCAATGCTCCCCCAAAAAGACACTGAACATCCCTGAATATGGTGTGACAGTCAATATTTTAGCTACGTCCTGCAGTCATTCTTGGCTGGGCAAGACCAGTCCCAAAAAGTTGGCCTCTCAGCTCTCAGATGCACTTCTCCACATTAGCCTGCAGGTGGTGCTGTGCTGGGAAGTACAAGTGTCCACGGTAGGAGCTCTTGTTTCACTAAATCCCACTTTTTTCTGGGAAGTTTTGCCAAGAAACCAACTACTCCACACTGAAAGATGCAGGAAACATCACAGTCTGGTGTCTTCAGGTGGAGGAATACAGCACCGTGGGTATTTGCGTCAGTGCTCCGACCTGACCTGGCCTCCGCAAGTCATGAGGCAGGAGGCAGCTGCACCTGAGCTCACGTCCTAGCCTCGCTGCCCAGACACAGAGAGCGGAACGCAGCCACCCCCTATTCCCTGCTCCCAAACACTTCAGGTTCCAGGTGGAACTTCAGTCTAAACTCCTCTCCCCTGGCCAAGAGGGCCACACATTGGCCAGGCGACTGGTATCCCTCAGGACCAGAGGTAGCAGAGGAAGGGCTCTCAGCACTTCTGAGAAGTGGCAGATGTGGCATGTCAAGTCCAAAACTGGAGAGAACAGCCCAAGGGATCTATAAATCACAGGTTTCAAAGACAGATACTAAAGCAGAATTATAGAGAGGCAAATTAAAAAAATGCACAGACCAGCTGCCCAAATCAGCAGGGTCAGTTCCGGGTTAACGCCTAGAACACACCGTCTACCCAGCACTGACCTTCGTTCACCTGAGGAGGAAGGAGGCAGACTGCAGGTAAACAGCCACAGACTGGTAGACATCTACTACTAGACCCTCCATCTGACACGTCGCTTCTGGCATGCAGTAAGCTCTCAGCACATGTGGATAAATGATGAAGGACGGTGTGAAGGGAGTCCCTAAAACCCTGCCCGCAGAGTTACAAGAATTGAGAAATGCTACTCACTATGTCAACCTGCTTCACAGACATCCCAAGAAACAGCAAGGTTAGAAACTCACAAAACTGCACTCTCTGAAGAGACACTAGCTCAGCGCAAGAGCTGTGCACTGGCAGCCGCTGCTGCTGCTGTGTGTGCTGCAGCGCGTCTGGGCTTGAAGTCACAGGCAGACGTGTCTGTCTGCTGGACTTTGTTTGTTTGCTGGCTTAATTTATAACAAAGAAACTAAGGAGAACAGGAAGACACTGCACTAAAAAGCCTGAGTTTGCCTTCCGTTCCGTGTTCTTCATCAGAACATCTGGGGTAACTGATGTCTTAGGACTAGGGGTTCCCAGGGCCAGCGACTTGCAGTCTAAAATCAAGAGAGTCCCAGGCAAACTGGGATGAGGTGGCCGCCCTATTTCCATGTCACGATCAAACATCTAGTATTCTCCTCAGCTTAAATGCAGAAACCAGGGCCAGCCACATCGCAGCCGTCTTCACCTTCGTTCTCACAAGAAAGCACTCAGCCTGCTAGCCAGAGTGTGCACGCAGCAGAGGCCGAACGACCCTGCCAGAGGAACTCCTGTAAGAACGACAGCTAATGCTCAGTGAGCATGTGCTGTGCGCCAGGCACGGCTCTAGACACTTGACTGCAATTATCTCACTTAATCCTCAGAAAAACCTCCGTGAGGTATGATTATTATTACGCAGTTTACAAATAAGGAAACTGAGGCTCAGAGAGGTTAATTAATTTCCTCAAGGTCCCACAGCTAGCCTCTATTCTTCTTAGAGCAGACAGTGATCCTTTAAAGATGTTAAATCACATCATGCCTCTCCTCAGAATTCTCCAGTGAATTCTCATTTCACTCAGAGTAAAATCCAAAGTCCGTATCATGGCCAAGAAGACCCTATATGTCCCCTCCTCCAACTCACCTGTATCTGACCTCTTCTCACTTGTCCCCTCACTTCCTGGGCTCCAGTGCACTGCCAGCTTGTTGTTCCCCCAATGCACCTAACAAGCTCCCACCTCGGGGCCTTTGCACATGCTGTCCCCTCTGTTTGTATGGGCTCATTCTTTTATTTCCTTTATGTCTCTGCTCAAATAGGCCTTCCCTAACAACCCTCCAGAAAATAGCAAACACAAATACTCCCTCTCTCTCTGTCTCACACACACACACACTCCCCAAGCCCTTTATATACATATTTGTGTGTTTGTTTATTGTCTGTCTCCCCACTATCCACTGAAATATAAGCTCAACATGAGCAATGACTTAATCTGTTCTGTGTACTGCCCTATCCTAGTACCTGGAACACAGAAGTTCAACACGTGCTTGACAAATGAACTAGTCCATGAAGAAGCCAGGACTGAACCCACAAAGACCAACTCTGGGGCCTGAGCTCTCAACCCACTGCTCCAGCACCTCCCCTTCTTCAGGGAGGACCCCACGCTGCGAGGGAGGCCTACCACAGTGAATCCCGAGACACTCCAGCACAGCAACGTGAGCAGAGCTTGCAGGGAGCTCCAGTAAGGGGCTTGGACGCCTCCTTTCCCTTCTATCTGGCACTCACCTTAATTCGAATGTTTGAAGAGGTTTTGTACGGTTTAAAATCTGAGAAGAGTGTAACTACACGAAACTTCACGTCTTGCTTTGGCTTGTATAGGGACTTGTCCGTTTGAATGAAGACAGTCATTCTCTTAGTCTCAAATGATAAGCGTGTGCTATTCGAGAATAAAATCTCATCCTGGGCACGTCCAGTTACACGTAGCTCATAAATCTCATCTGCACTGTTCAGAGGTAGCTGGAAAAACAAGAGATCAGACATAAAGGTCTCATTATTTGACCTCAAAAAAGTCTTTAATTTTAAGTTAGAATAGAAAATTTAAATACATAGTATTATCAAAAATAATTGCTGAAAAATTTGCTCCTCCAAGGCACCGAAGTTAAACAATTTGTTTTCCCTGTTTTAACATGCTGTGGGTCACTCTCAGATTAAATCGCAGGGTTCCCAGGACGCAGGATGCACACCCCTCAGCTCTCTCGGCAGCAGGCACCTCCTCACTGCCTACTCCAAGTGCAAGTCCCTCCTCCTGACAGGAGTCAGGGGTCAGAAGGCCCAGCTCCGTTTGACGTCATCTTCCACACCCGCCCCCCTGGGGCAGCCACTGGGAGAAAGGCACGTTTGTGTGAGACTGGCTTTCCTGCTCTGCTCTCTCAAGCTCTTTCCTACGATGCACTCTCTCCCCGCATCTTGCTCATCACCTGTCACAGCCCTGGTAAAGAGGATGGCACTGCTACTTGTACTATTTCTATTATAAACAGAAATCTTGCCTTCTTGCGTCAATAGAGAGGCCTTCCTCAGCAGTCTACGTGCACTGTGCCATTTTACCCCACACGACCCTTCAGGGGGTGCTCTTACCAACATCATTTTACGAACAAGGAAACTGGGGCTTGGAGGCGTTAAGGAAGTTGTGCCAGGTCACTAGCTGAGATTCAAACCCAAGATGAGCTATATTACTCTTAAGAGACTTTGTGTGGTGGTTTTAAAATACATCTAGGGCCGGCTCTGTGGCTTGGCGGTTAAGTGCTCGCGCTCTGATGCTGGCGACCCGGGTTCGGATCCCGGAAGCGCCCCGAGGCACCACTTCTCCCTCCAACACGAGGCCGGGTCCCACGTACAGCAACTAGAAGGATGTGAACCTATGACATACAACTGTCTGCTGGGGCTTTGGGGGGAAAAAACTGAATAAATAAAATCTTTAAAATACATCCAAAAATTCTCTGACCCTCCTCCCTTCAAAAGGGACCCAAAAGATAGAGCCTAATTCCCCAGACTTAGTACTTGCTTCTCAAGAATAGAACGAGGCTGCATTGTAAAAAGGAAGGTTGCTGGCTGGTTCTCTCTTTGGATTCCTCTCTAGGGGAAGCCAGCTGCCACGGGACGACGTCACTCAGGAGGCCTGTGGAGAAGCCCACATCGGGGGGAACTGAGGCCTCCCACCACACCCACCACCAACTTGCCAGCCACGTGAATGAACAACCTCACAAAGGACCCCGAGCCCTAGCGAAGCCTTCAGAGGACTGCAGCTCTGGCTGACATCCGTATTGCGTCCTCATAAGACCCCAAATCAGAACTCCTGACTGTGTGGTTCCCAAATTGCTGACCCACAGGTACCGTGAGAAGCAATAAAAGCTTACTGCTGTATTACACCAAGGTTTGAGGATAACAGGTTACACAACAATCAATAACTAGTACAACCGACTTTTAGTTCATTTTCAGATTAATAAACCTGTCTGAAACTACATTCTGACTCCTTTTTGCAAATAAGGTTTGTCCACAGAAAGTTCAGAGGGGATTTTCCAGTAATAGCAGCCACGATAAAGCTAGCAACATGGATAAGAATATGAAGGAAATGTAATAAACCACCAATAAAATGGTCAGCAGGAAATATTTAGGGAGAAAAGTACTGATGTCTGCAACTTACTTGGAAATGCATTTTAAAAATAACAAGAATTAATTGATGAAGAGATGGGTAGATGGATAGCAATGTGACAGCAAGTATGGTAAAATGTTGATAAATTCCAAGTGGTGGTTATAGCAGTGTTCACTATGAAATTCTTTCAATTTTTTTGTATATTTGAAAATTGCATAATAACATATTAGGAAAAACAATCAGTACCATCACCTTCAAATGACCTCTAGTGCCAATTTTTGCTTTTCTTCGACAAATAGATATTTTTTATTGAGCACCTTCTACCTCCAGGTTGTTCTAAGTGCTTGGGATACAACGTGAACCAAAGACGTGCAGCCCGTGGGGCTGAGGGTCCAGTGTGGAACTTGCATTCTTATATTCTATTTTCTCAAGTGAGACTTCAGTCTTCAGATTCTTTTAAACAGATTCCTTAATACTATAAGCAGGAAAATATACATGGCAGGAAATTATGTTTATATATGGCAGAGATTTATAAATATTTCATGTTTACGAATATGATATTTGATGAGATTGCTCTTCATGATGTGGATATAGTTTGGTCATTTTTAGTGGCACAGAGGCCCCAGAACAGAAAGGAGATTGAGGACTTATGTCAAATCCATGAGGCAGAGGAGTGACACTGAACAGGCCTAGTAATAGTGAGGTGTGGCCAAAGAGTGAGAGACTCAGAGTTAACACAGATGTGTCCAGCACAGCGACCCTGTCCCTCCTCCACCCTCCTTCAGGGTGGGACACTGCCTCAAGGGGAGCGGACTATCTTCCTGTCATTTCAGCATCCCTAACTAATTTGTTTTTTCAACTTTCCCCTGTTAGAAACCTTGCCTCCCCACCTGTCAAACTTAGGCGATTTGTGTCGTCAAAGCCTCAGGGCTGACCCCGTGCTGGACAGTCAGAGCAGACAGTGTGGACTGGGCATTATCAGCAGTCCTGGGGTACCTCTACGAATCATGGGGTGTCAGCAAATGGCCTGGGGTGTCACCCTGGACTCTGGGGGTCAGGATGGACCTTGGCCCTCCATTGTTAACAGCAGAGGGACATAATGAGAACGCAATTGGAGGAAGTACTGTGGATTTTAAGCAATCTTTATGCAAGTTTCTCTCCGTGCCAGACCTAGAACAGGCTGTAACCTGTTTCCCACAGTGAAGAGGACTTCAGAAAGTTACAAAATCTCCTGAATCTCTGCTGGTCCATTGCCATCTGCCTTCTCAGGGCCACAATTACTGAAAACGGTTCCCATAATCGGTAATAAAGAGGTTCCCTGATAAGAGACTTCCATATCTCTTATACAGAACCGATTACTTAACTCACAGAGATTTTGGACTCTTAGGTGTCACGCTGAAGGCACAGGGCTGGAGAAAGATGTAGTTGCCACAATTGGAGCCAGTCTGGCAGCAGGACAAGAGTCTGGGAGGGTACAATACTGGCGGGCTTTGATCAACAAAATATCCATCAGCATCTGAGCATGGCTGATTCTCAGTCTGATGCTAAGTCTATTTTGTGCACATATACACACAAACTCTCTAAGTAGATGACAGCTTTCTGCCCAGGCTTCACAAGGAACGCCTGCTCGGAAAGGCCCTTCGTGGACAATAAATGGGTTTCTTGTTCTAACCTCAGCTGTCTAAAGCCATTCCACCTTCTCTGAAAGATCGATTGCCTTAAGGAAACTGAGACAATGCAATAGTATTCATGTACTTTACTTCATTAATAACTCCAATTACAAAAAGTAATGGAAATTTCAAATAATTTTCAAAATAAAATTGAGAAATTTAAGATGATGGTTTCTATTAAAAATATATTAGAAATTATACTTAAAATAAACTTTAAAAACATTTTTAATTTTAAAAACTACTCCCTCAAGTTCGATTTATTTACAAAGAAAATAAAAAATTTTTTCTAGTATATTTTGTACAAAAAATAATCTTTAGGGGCCGGCCCGGTGGCGCAAGCGATTAAGTGTGCGCGCTCCGCTATGGCAGCCTGGTGTTCACCGGTTTGGATCCCGGGCGCACACCGACGCACCGCTTGGCAAGCCATGCTGTGGCGGTGTCCCATATAAAGTGCAGGAAGATGGGCACGGATGTCAGCCCACAGCCAGTCTTCCTCAGCAAAAAAAGAGGAGGATTGGCAGATGTTAGCACAGGGCTGATCGCCTCACAAAAAAAATAATAATAATAATCTTTATATTAAGCATCAATTACGTTTTTTATTTACTTCTTACTGAAGGCTGATTTTAGTGTATCAAAAGTACAAACAATGAACTAATCAGATATTAAAAACACACTTGTTTTAATGCAGTCAAAATATTCATATTTTATAGCAAAAATTTACAAGGACCTTAGAAAATAATTTAAAGTATTACATTTACAAACGCAGGATGTAAGCACACTTTGAAAGTCTGGTCTATTTTAATTGAAAACTCATAAAAATACAGAACTTTCTATTTTTGCCAAGCACTAAGAAATTTTCCCAGACATTTTATGACTAAGTCTTTAAAATTTTGTTTTACTAAAAAGGGATATAGTCCCAAATATAATCTCTAGTAAAGCTTTCAATAAATACTTGCTATATCTACATACATAATAATATGGCATAATATTAAAGAAAAATACAGGATGTTGGAGTTAGTATTTCATATAATTAGGACTTAAAAGAATAATAGGAGCCAAATTTCCAGCTCATGACAGTTCAGACGAGGACAGTCCACGCCAGCATCGCTGGAATAAGCCCAGGTGCCTGTCCCACTACATGCCCTCTCCTCTCGGCTTGTCTACCCTTCCAGCCTGTGCAACTGCAGACTTCTTTGAGGAAACCAGAGGCTTATTGTGCTTTAAGCTGTGATTCCTGAACTTAAACCTCACCCTCTTCTGCTCTAGGACATTATATCATAGAGGATTTATTTTAGTCTTCTCATTGGAATACTCTCTCAACAGAGTTATGCACACAGGCACTACTGCCAGCATCTAAGGTTTTAGTTACATTAAAGCAATCTAATGTTTTATTGTCAGTATGATTGGGTTTTTTCCTCCACATCTGTCTGCTCCTACCTTTTTTTCCCCCACTTTCTAATGTTAGCAGCACTATACTTCTTAGTAAGGAAAATACAAACATAATAGGTAAGAAACACAACAGGTACAGAACATAAGTAATTTTTATAAAGGACTATATTCCCTTAGTAATATTCCATAAGTAATTTTTATAAAGGACTATATTCCCCCAAAATGAATGTGGTTTCTGAATGTGCTTGACAAGTAACCTTCACGAGGTAATGGGGAACCTGGCCCGTCAGGTAACACAGATCCTACATAAGTATGCATCATGTCGTGTCCAAGTCATCGGTCAGCGACTCTCACGAGAGTCTATCAGATCACATCTCTTGTTGGATGCTGCGGTCGACTCTATTGTACACTAAACGTGTGAAGCTCCAAAACAGAACACAGGAATAAAAGTACAGACTTCCTAATCAAAGCCATGGGAAACAGGATTAGTTCACAAACAACATTTACTAGCCAGTTTTATGATTCTCTCAACAAAATAATACGCCCTTCCCACTTTTATAGCTAATTTTACAGCACTTTCTCACCTCATTTTGCCTCCAGGTGCTCCTGTGAAAGAGAAACAGCGTGTTTTCCCCTTTTCCAGGACCAGGACAAGGTGAGGTCAGTGAGGCACTCGCCTCCAGTGCAAAATTTAAGGGAGCGCCAAAAATCTTGGTAATCAAGATAAATAATTTTTTAAATATTTTAAAAATACCAAAACTAATGCAAAAAATTAAATTATGCACCAAAAAAACGCAAAATTTTAAACAAAGACGGGATCAGTATCACTGATGTTTCCTTTGCCTCAGGCTCCCATACAGCTCAGCACGGCACTGCCCTCTTCAAGGAGAAGGAAACTGAGGCAGGGAATATTAACTCCACACTCACAGCCATCAGGCTCAGGAAGGCAGGAGCAGGACCAAGCCAGCGCAGGTTCCCGCACCCCCCTCAGTGAAGTTCTCCATTTTACAAGAGGAAAACGTCGCCTCTGTTTGAAGAGGCTAACAACCAATCTCCCTGAAGTAATACTATTCTTAAATAATCCGAAGGTGGGACTGAACTCAAGCCAAACTCACAAGAAATGTAAATTGATATAAAAGTCAATAAAATATTTATTTATTTCACTGATGCAATGTATATTTCTGAAACCAAATTTTTTAAATGGATACTTACTGATGGAAGAGTAAGTGTCTTGAAAGAGCCTAAAAGGAGAACAGGGAAGAAAACAGAGTCATAATTTGAATATAATGACATACTACAAAACTCATAAGACTCTCTTAATACTCTGTCAGATGTAGAGGGAACCAGAGACTTACATAATCACAGACTTATTTGGTCAAACCAAAACAATTTTCTTAAAGCCCAGTACACCTGAGATATTGTTACATATCCTTATGCCAAAGAATTAAGGAAAACTGGACCAGACTTAGATGGCTAACAACAGGTGAACCCCCCAAAAATTAGTTAAGCTCTGCTTCTCTTTTCCAGTATCATTTTTGTTGTCAACGTTGCTGCTGCTCTTGTTGCTGTTTCAAGGTTATGCAGGTCTGAGGGACACATCATACAGTGTACAGAAGGAGCCTGAGGTTTATTCTCATGTTCTCATACCTCCATGATAAAGGGAACAAAGGAAGGCATTAGTCATGGCAGGGCTGAGCTGGGACTCATAACTGACTCATTATTATTAGAGTGATGCAGACTTTCTTTCATGTAAAGTTTCTAAATATAGAACTGCTAATTCATCTCACACTAATTTCTCATGAGATCTATTTATTTCAAGGGAAAAAAATGTTTCAAATTAAAAATAAGAGTACTTATCCAAAGTTCCCATTTAAGTGACATGGATTCAGAGGTGGTGACAGGCCCTCAGTTCCTTCATTCATTTAAGAAATATTTATAAAGGGTACCACAATGAACAAGCCAGACACAGCCCCTCTCCTCCTGGAGGCCACATGTGTCCATCCTGTGGGAGCAGACAGGCACCAGAGCACAGCACAGTGCGAAGCAGGGGTCAAGCAAGTGGCCTCTGGAATCAGACCACATTGGTTCCATCCCAAATCAGCCACGTAGTACTCCCATCCTTGAACAAGTTACCTGATTCTCCAGGCTCAGTTTTTTCACTCATAAAATGAGGATGCTAGTAATTGTGGAGTGGAGGTCAACATGAGTCTACCAACAAAAAGAGCTGGGTGAGACAAGACCACAGGCGGGGAGCAGGCAGTAGAAGTGAGGCTGGACCAGATCATGAAAGGCCCTTTACACAGGGTGAGCCCTCGCCAGGACTGTCTCAGGCTATGCCGTTATCTCAGCATCCGGATTTAGCATTTGTCCTGGATCCTTTTTGGTTTAGCAAAATATTAACATGATGGGTTTAATTTGCACAAGATTTAACTTGGAAATTTTGTAATCGTGTTTTAGAAATATCTCAATTTGTGGAAACAAACTTCTGTTCATTAAGTTCTTATTTTTAATAGGATATACATATTCTACACTGAACTGAAGTGAAATTGAGAAGCCCTGTGTTGTTGCAACAACTAAACCTAGGGAAACACTCAAAAGAACCATGAATAGAAACAATTTACTTGACGAGTTTTGTGTTGTAAACATATTTGTTGAAGAGAAGCACTGTACTCTGCAGGCAAAAAGACAGACCCTGTACAATATTTGAGCTGAAACATTTAAACAGTTAATAGGAAAAAAATTAGAATTGAGAATATCCTACATATAGCAGAATTTGCTCTGATCATAACATGTACCTCAGCCCTCATAGAGAGAGTTTTCTCAATTAAAAATATTATGATAACTATACACCAAAAATGAACAAGTGGAAGTTGAAATTAGAAACAACACCATTTACATTAGCAGTCAAAAAACTAAATACTGAGATATAAATCTAACGAAATGTGTACAAGATCTATATGAGGAAAACTATAAAATTCTGATAAATGAAATCAAAGGGGAACTAAAGAAATGGAGAGATATTCAAAGTTCATGAATAGCGGGCCGGCCCCGTGGCTTAGCGGTTAAGTGCACGCGTTCCGCTACTGGCAGCCCGGGTTCGGAACCCCAGGCGCGTACCGACGCACTGCTTCTCCGGCCATGCTTAGGCTGCATCCCACATACAGCAACTAGAAGGATGTGCAACTATGACATACAACTATCTACCGGGGCTTTGGGGAAAAAAAAAAAGGAAGAGGATTGGCAATAGATGTTAGCTCAGAGCCAGTCTTCCCCAGCGAAAAGAGGAGGATTAGCAAGGATGTTAGCTCAGGGCTGATCTTCCTCACAAAAAACAAAAAAGTTCATGAATAGGGAAACTCAATATTACCATGACATCAGTTCTTCTCAGTTTGACATGTAGATTCAAGGTGATCCTAATCAAAATCCCGGCAAGTTATTTTGTGAAAATCAACAAACTGATTTTAAAGTTTAGAGAAGCAAAAGACCCAGAAGAGCCAACACAATATTGAAGGAGAACAGAGTTTGAGGAATAATGCTACCCAACTTCAAGGCTTACTATAAAGCTACAGGGATCAAGTCAGTGTGGTACGTGCAAAAGAACAGACAAATAGATCAATGGAACAGACAAGAGAGCCCAGAAATAGACCCCCATAAATACGTTCAAATGATCTTTGACAAAGGAGTAAATGAAATACAATGGAGTAAAGATAGTCTCTTCAACAAATGGTGCTGGAACTGGACATCCACATGCAAAAAAATGAATCTAGACACAGATCTTACATCCTTCACAAAAATTAACTCAAAATGGATCATACACCTAAATGTAAAACACAAACCTATAAAACTTGTAGAAGATAACACAGGAGAAAACCTAGGTGACCCTGGGTATAGTGATGCCTTTTTAGATACAACACTGAAGACACAATCCATGAAAGAAGTAATTGATAAGCTAGACTTCATTAAAATTAAAAACTTCTGAGGGCTGGCCTGGTGGTGTAGTGGTTAAGTTCCCACGCTCCACTTTGGCGACTGGGGGTTCATGGGTTCAGAACCCCGGGCACAGACCTATATACCACTTATCAAGCCATGCTGTGGTGGCGTCCTGTACACAAAATAGAGGAAGATTGACACGGATGTTAGCTCAGGGTCAATCTTCCTCAAGCAAAAAGAGGAAGACTGGCGACAGATGTTAGCTCTGGGCTGATCTTCCTCACACACACACACAAAAAAAAAACTTCTGTTCTGCAAAAGACAACGTCAAGAGAATGAGAAGAAAAGCCACAGAATGGGAGGAAATATTTGCAAAAGCCACATCTGATAAAGGACTGTAATATAAAATATACAAAGAATTCTTAAAACTCAACAATAAGAAAACAAACAACTTGATTAAAAAATAGGCCAAGGCAATTAACAGACACCTCACCAAAGAAGATACACAGATGGCAAATAAGTATATAAAAAGATGCTCCACATCATAGGGAAATGCAAATTAAAACAACAATGAGATACTGCTACACACCTATTAGTATGGCTAAAATCCAAAATACTGACAACATCAACTGCTGGCCAGGATGTGGAACAACAGGAACTCTCCTTCACTGCTGGTGGAAGGCAACGGGCAACAGCTACTTTGGAAGAGAGTTGGGCAGTTTCTTATAAAACTAAACACACTCCTACCATACAATCTAGCAGTCATGCTCTTAGGTATTTACTCAAAAGAGCTGAAAACTTATGTCCATACAAAAATCTATACACGGATGTTTACAGCAGCTTTATTCATAATTGCCAAAACTTAGAAGCAACCAAGATGTCCTTCAGTAGGTGAACAGATAAATTGTGGTACATCCAGACAAAGAAATTTTATTCAGCACTAAAAAGAAATGAGCTATCAAGCCATGAAAAGACATGTGGGAACCTTAAATGCATATTACTAAGTGAAAGAAGCCAATCTAAAAAGGCTACATACTGTATGATTCCGACTAAATGACATTCTGGAAAAGGCAAAACTATGGAGACAAAAAATAGATCAGTGGTTGCTGAAAGGTGGCAGGGAGAGACGAATAAGCAGAGCAAAGATGATTTTTTACAGCAGTGAAAAATACTCTGTATGATGTTATAATGATGGATATATGTCATTATACATTTGTCAAAACCACATAGAGTGTACAATACCAACAGTGAATCCCCTAAGGTAAACTATGAACATGATTATAATGTGTAAGTCCAGTTCTTATGATGACTATGGTGTGATTATGTTGTGTGATTCTGATGTGTCAATGTTGGTTCATCTTTGGGGGAAAAAAAAAAATGCACCATGCTGGTGAGTGATGTTGATAATGGGTAGGCTATGCATACATAGTGGCGAGGGTAATATGTGAAATTTGCAAAAAAAATGAAGTCTTTTATTTATTCGAACGTCCAAGTTGTCTGACCATTATACATATAATGACCATTGGTCAGACAACTTGAATGTTCAAATAAATTATGGATTATAACCTACTGAGTAAAACAAGAGTCTATGAGTTTGTGCTGCTACATAATTAAATAGATGACTAAATGAGGGAGAAGAAAAAGTTCTTCTTTACCATAGAATTCCAACTAATAAATGTAGAAGGAATCATGTAATTAGAAAATACCACAACTATCATGGTAATAACTGATTCAGGCAATAATCATCAATCTTGTGAGTACAAGCTGGGTGAGTGAGACTCATAAGAAATAATAAACCATTGTTGCTTAAACTACTAAGTTTTGGGGTGGTTCATTCATAGCGATAGATAACTGGAACACTTTTGAAATAAAAAAGGTTACCTAGCAAACCTCTACAGCTGCACAGTCCAGTCCAGTAGCCTCCAGCCACGAGTCTCTATTGGGCAACTGAAATGTGTTGCAAATGTAAAATATACTCCATATTGCTAAGACTTAAAACAGCAAAAAAGAATGTAAACTATCTCACTAACAATTTTCAGGCAGAGTGATGTCAGCATCATGGCAGAGTGAACTGTTCCCTTTGTCTCTTCCCCCTTAAGTTACAACTAAATGGACATTCAATAACCAACAGAGGATTCAAACACAGCACAACAGGACGCCTGAGGGATCCACGCAGCTAGACATCTGAAGGTGGGTAGACTGGATTGGCAGGAAGCCGTGGAACTAGGTGAGCAGCAGCAAGCCAGGTCTCACAGCCTCACACAGCAGCTGGAAGTGACTGCGAGAGGAGGCAGGGGCAGCCTGGCACACG